GTGGGGTGGATAGGGCCTATGACTCCACGGAACACTACTTGGTTTACCTTGTATTTCGACGGCTGAGTTCAGTTCTCGCTTTTTGTCTAGCGCAGTTTTTTTGGCGAAGGGTCCTGGTTCCCGTGTTTGACCCTATTGCCCCCCCACCATATCCTAAGCAGCGGTTGATCTGTGCCAGCATTTGTGGTGCGTTGTTGCTTGTTCAGGCGTGTGACCTCGAAGGCTCATAGGTACCCTCATGATATTCTAAGGCTCGCATCCGTCTCCGCTGTCGCAGGCACGGTCGAGTTCAAGACGCCTGGCTTGAGGCCAGGATGTGGGCGACGGTTGCGGCCCTCTTACCCTGGTCAGTGTGATTCCAGTCAGATCTTGCTTCGCGGATGTTCGCTGGCAGCCTAAGCTCGTCACTGCACGGTCAGAAGCTGTCGCAACGTGGCGGTTACCGCCCTTTGGCCGTGGACTGCTTGGATGCCTGCGTGGCGGAGGCTGCGGATGCTAAGCTGTCTCCCTGCCTGCCCCTGCCGCTGCCGTCGTTCCCCTGTCTGGCCTCTCTTGCCCACCTTGCTTCTCTGGTGCCCCTCGCTGCCCTCGCTTCCTGTGCGCTTTCTGCGTGTGTGCGTGCCCTCTTCGCTCTCGCGCGGCCTTCGAGGAGCTGTGTCGGTTCCCCGGAAGTGGCTGCCTCTCTTTGCGTCGATCGATCAGTCGGTCAGCCGTCTTTCGCGGTGATTCGTGGGCCCGTGCACGGATGTGGCAAGACACGCTCTGGGTTAGCATGGGCCACCGCCTGTTTTTGTGCTGCCTGCGCTGCGCAGGTTGCAGCAGCTGTTCCAGGGCCGCTGTCCGCCCGTCTCCCTCTCGTTAGCTGGGGCCGGCGGGGTTGCGATTCTGGGGTCGTTGGGTCGTTGGTTTATTGCCTGATCAGATCGTCCCCCTCCCTCACTTAAGAGTGGTGTTCGCACACTAGCTTTCGTTGCTGCTGCACTCAGTGTCTGGAGTCATCCTTTGGCAGCGCGTCATTGCCATCGGCCCCGTGGAAAAAATCACCATCATCATCAGTATCAGGCCAATATTTCTTTTTCACAGGCCTGGCTGATGTGCTGCGCGGCCTGCTTAGCGGGCCACCCGCATCAGCGTCGCCAGTGAGCCTGTGCACGACCGTGCTCTGGCTTGCGGAAACGGTTCGGCGGACTTTCTGGTTGCAGCCCCGACGCAGCTCACAGGCGTGCAGGAAGTCTGCTGCTGGTGCCGATGGTGCAATATCGACTGATTGTTTGACTGGTCTTCATCATCAGTATCATCATCAACATCATCGCCATGAACATCAGCATCGCCATCACCATTATCACCAGCACCACCATCAACACCAACCTTATCATGAGTGTCGTCATGATCACCAGTCATCATAGTCATCATTACCAGCCCCACCTTCGGCACCATCATGTTCACCTTCAGCGTCAACATCAGGATCCGTACTAATTATCATCTTCATCAGTATCAGCACCAGCATCCGCATCACCATCGTCTTCGTCACAAAAATCAACATCAACATCAGCGTCAGCACCAGTATCAGCATCAACAGTATCATCATCACCATCGTCATCATGGTCATCCCCATCATCCGCATCACCATCGCGTTTTCATTGCCATCATGATGAGCATCTTCATCCTCGTCTTCGTCATCATCCGTATCATCAACAGCATCACTATTTGCATCAACATCACCAGCATCATCGTCAGCATCGTCATCATCATCATCTTCATCATCAGCCGCATCACAATCCGCATCAGCGCCAGTATCACCATCAGCACCAGCATCATCATCATTACCACCATCATCATCAGCAACCGCATCAGCACCAGCCCCATGAGCAGCATCAGAATTGGCAGCATCATCGCCACCAGCATCACCATCAGCATCAGCATCCGCATGAGCAGCATCACCGTCATCAGCATGAGCAGCATCAGCAGCAGCACCATCATCATCATCATCATCATCATCATCATCATCATCATCATCACCAGCAGCAGCAGCAGCATCATCATCATCATCAGCATCAACATCAGCAAATGCATCAGCACCAGCGTCCGCATCAGCATCAGCATTGTTTATCGGCATCCGCACCATCATCATTAACATTAGCACTCGCATCATCATCATCATCATCATCATCATCATCATCATCAGCATCGGCATCAACTCCAGCAGCAGCATCAGCATGGGCACCAGCATCAGCATCAGCTTCGGCATTAGCATCATCACCATCATCAGCATCAGCAGCAACATCAGCACCAGCACCAGCATCATCACCATCAACGTCGTCATTATCATTACCACTATCGTCATCAGCATCGCCATCGCATCATCATCATCAGCATCATCTGTACCACCATTATCTCATCATTATCACCACCATCATTATCATCAACATCATCGTCATCGACACCGCCAACATCATCATCGTCGTCATCATCGTAACCGTCATAATCACCACCAGCATCAGCATCAATAGTATCATAATCATCATCAGCAGCATCATCATCGACACCAGCGTCATCATCAGCATCAACTTCAGCAGCAACATCAGCATCACCATCATCATGATAGTCATCATCAGCATCATCAACACCATTATCATAATCATTATGATTATTCTCATCACACCATCATCCACATCAGCGTTATCATCATCACCATCATCATCATCACCACCATGCTCACTAACATCATCGCCATCATCCTTTTCTTCATCCTCCTCCTCCTCAGCTTCATCATCATCATCGTCATCATCATCGTCATCGTCATCGTCATCGTCATCGTCATCACTATTATCATCATGACCATCATCGTCGCCACTATCATCATCATTACCACCATCATTATCAACACCATTACTATTTGCATCATTATCATTATTATCAGCAGCGTCATCATGATCACCATCATCATCGTTATCACCATCGTCATCGTCATCATCATCATCATCATCGTCGTCGTCGTCATTATCATCACCATCATGACCACCATCATCATCATCATCCCCACCAATTCATCCTCATCCTCATCATCCTCATCATCCTCATCATCCTCATCATCCTCATGATCCTCATGATCCTCATCATCCTCATGATCCTCCTCATCATCATCATCACCATCATCGTTGCCATCACCATCACCATCACCATCATCATCATTCTCGTCGCCCCGCGCGCGGGCGTTGTATAGGCGCGATCGATCTTGCGTGGGGCGCCAGGCCATGCGCGCACACCGGTTTTGCCCAGGCCCACCCTGGGAGAGGGAGTGGGAGGGTCTCGCTTCGAGGATCGAGGGCGCTGGGGCGTGCTCGGCCCCCCCAAAGGCCTCTCTGGAGGCCTCTCTGGACACCTCCACAGGGGCCCCGCGGGGGAGAGCTCCCGCGACCTCTGGAGGCCGCCTGGAGGCTGGGGCTCCTCTTCTCCTCCTCCTCCTCCTTCTCCTCCTCCTCCTCCTTCTCCTCCTCCTCCTCCTCCTTCTCCTCCTCCTCCTCCTCCATCTCCTCCTCCTCCTCCTCCTCCTCCTCCTCCTCCTCCTCCTCCTACCCCTCGGGGACCTCCTGGGTGGGCCTGGTCAAGGCCGTCGTGGAGGCACAGCCGGCCTCTTTTTTGTGCAGCCCCCTCTCCTCGCTGGCCAGTAGGGAGCCATCGAGCAGCGAGGCGCCGCGCCGGCCAGTAGGGAGCCGGCCGGCGAGCCATGCCTGGCTGGTGCACGGCGTGGCCTGGCATCGGCCAGGGAGGGGGGGCCCTTTGTCAGGGGCAGCGTCTTGGGGGGGGAGAGGTTCAGGGCGCGGATGCGTAGACTTCCGATCGCCCCCTCACTGTCGGCAGGGGGCCCGATAGCCCGCCCCGCCCAGGACCGTGAGGTTTTGCCATTTGGAGCCCTTCGCCATGTATCGCCGATTCCAGCTCGATGCTTCGCCCCGTGAGCCGATCCCCCCCCTAACGCCCTCCAGCGCGGGTGCGCGTGGACGTATTGTGCCTGCGCGGCCACGCTGGTTTCTCTTTTGCAGCAGCCCCGTCTTGATCTCGCGGCCCAAAAAACGTCGCCCCGTCGTGCGGGCAAGGATATCCGTATCCGCTGGGTCTTGGACTTTCTGGGACAGGGCGCCGAAAGCCGGAGGCGCAGTGGGTATGGACAAACATTTGGCCTCCAGGGGCCAGAGCTTTATCCACGCCCACTGCGCCTCGGGCTTCTTGTGAAGGGCGCCCGGCACTCCAAGACGCGGATCAGTTTGGCTAGGACTAGGATCAATCTTCTCCAGAGCGTTCGGGGACGCTCTCAGAGCGTTCTGGAACGCTCCGAGGAGGCCGCGGCGCCCGAGACATCCTTCATAGCCGCGGGATCTCAGAGTTTCTCGATTGATCCTCACGCGAACTTGCCCTTGTCCTGGCTTCCTCTTACACAACATCGGGGGGCGCGTAATGGAGGGGGGGCGATGCGCGGGGGGGGCAGCGAGGGCTGCAGAAAAGGAGCCCACTGGGCCCCCCGGGGGGCATTTCGGGCCCGGTAAGAGGCGCCTCTCTTCCCCCCCCCTGATCGCCGTGTCATTCTCGCGCCCAAGGACTTGCTCGCCCAAGGACTTGCTCGCTCTTCCCCCCCTGATGCCAGTCTTGCTCGCACTTGGTCTGCATCACCCGCCGGGCGTGCGCCCCGTCTCCCGTGGCGGCGCGCGGCCAGGGGCCCTGCCGCCAGTGTGGAGTCGGCCCGGGCCCCCTGCCAGAGGAGCAGTCAAAAACAGTCAAAAAATAGTCAGGGGGCGATTTTTGATTATTCATTGGCTGACGCCGCACCGCCGACCCCTTGGAGCAGCGGACACCTTTGCCCCCCCCCCCCCACCCCTTTCCAAACCAGCCGGACCGGGCTCCCGGGGGAGGGGTTTGGGGAGGGGGAAGCATCTCACACGCCGTGACCCCAAGGGGTCGGCGGATTTTTGATGACTATTTTGAGGTATCTTTGGACTATCTTTCATTTTTCGCCCAAAGTCCGCCTGTAGGGGGACACGCCCGACCTAACGCCAGTGGGGCTCCCAGATCCGATTCGAGTCGATTCCGATGGCTTCCGATTCTGGTCCGATTCGACTTCGGATTCCGATTCCTGCTTCCGACTTCTCAAACTGGAGGCCTCCTGGCCTGCCGATTTCCGCCGGTTCGATGTCTTCCGACTCGGCTGCCGACTTTGGCCGATACGCTTCGTGTCGATCGCCGACCCGGCTTTTCGATTCGATTCTTGGCTCTCTTGGGCTTCTGGCGGGGATCGGAGCCCATCTGAGAAGGATTCTCAGGGGGCTCGAGGCCTTCAAATAATCGGAGGCCCAGAGGATGACACCAACACCAATATCGGCGGTGTGCCTCTGCCGAGGGAAGATGGTCCTGTTCTCGCTGATGATCTTACCACCAGCACCACGATCTATAGGATCTTCCCCGGTGGAGGCACCCCCCTGTTCGGATGCAACTCCTGGGAGGTCAGATTCTGACTTGGCCCTGGCCCGGAATGCAGCTTAATCCGGCCTCATCCCGCTCAATCCGGCTTCATCCCGCTTCATCTGGCTTGATTCAGCTTAATCCGCGGACTGATCCGGCGTGGCAGCCCCTCAAATGGGGCTTCATCCTCCTGGATCCTTTCGACGAAGACCTCCCAGTAGTTGCCTCCTATTAAGGGAATTGCCTCCTATCAAGGGAGGAAAAACCACCCGGACCCGATCATTGGCGTTTCCTAAATGGCCTTGGGCGTTTACCAAACAGCCCTGCCCTGTTCGATCCCTGCTGGGGGTGCGGTTACTAGGCGGCTTCGCTTGTCGGGGTGATTATCATGGGGGTGGATTTTCTGCCGTCGGTGTGGCCTCCTATGCCCTCTATCCTAACCCCTCTATTGGTGTCAGTGTTAAATCGGGCCTGTCCCTCTACAGGGGAATGTTCAAAAATAGTCAAAACATAGTCAAAACATAGTCTGGGTACGATTTCTGGACCATTTTTGAACATTTTGGTGGTATTTTATCGGGTACTTGTTATTTTTCGTCCAAAATCCGCCTGTAGGGGGCCACGCCCGACCTAATGCCAGTGCCCTGTTCCAGGCCTTCCCATCGGCCCCCGCCTTCTCAGAAATACAGGTCGCCCCTCGGCTACTACTACTGCTACGACGACGACGACGACGACGACGACGACTACTATTACTACTACTACTACTACTACTACTACTACTACTACTACTACTACTACTACTACTACTACTACTACTACTACTACTACTACTACTACTACTACTACTACTACTACTACTACTACTACTACTACTACTACTACTACTACTACTACTACTACTACTACTACTACTACTACTACTACTACTACTACTACTACTACTACTACTACTACTACTACTACTACTACTACTACTACTACTACTACTACTACTACTACTACTACTACTACTACTACTACTACTACCTACTACCTACGACCTACTACTACTACTACCTACTACCTACTACCTACTACCTACTACCTACTACTACTACTACTACTACTACTACTACTACTACTACTACTACTACTACTACTACTACGACTACTACTACTACTACTACTACTACTACTACTACTACTACTACTACTACTACTACTACTACTACTACTACTACTACTACTACTACACTACCACTACTACTACTACTACTACTACTACTACTACTACTACTACTACTACCATTACTATTGTTACTGGTGCTCGCGCTACTACTACTACCACTACTACTACTTACTATTACTAATATTACTACTTTTCTTTGTGTTACTGGTATCACTATCACTACTACTACTACTACTATTACTACTACTATTACTACTACTACTACTGCTACTACTATAACTACTACTACTACTACTACTACTACTACTACTACTACTACTACTACT